CGCGCGGGAGGGGGCAGGTGGCCCGGGAAGGGGCCCGCGGGAGCGGGGAGCGCGGAGGTGGCGGCTGCGGAGCGTCCCCCGAGCGGGGACAGTGCGTGGCAGGGGACGAGCCGCCCGCCCAAGGTCATTCGGTGGCCGCGGGCTATAAATAGCGACGGGAAAGAGAAGGGGCCGCGGGGGCCCGGCGGGATTCCGGGCGAAGAGGGCATTCTCGGCTCCCCTCCCCGAGTGCCTGTTCTGCTGAGCCTCCCGGGCGCCTGCAAGCTGTGTCCCACCCAGGGCGACTCCTCAGGGAGCTGTGGCAGGGATTGGAGTAGTTTGTTTGGTGCCTTGGAGCCCCGCGGTTTCCCGTACCACAGTTCCTGTTTTAAAGCAATGGTGTAAAGAGAAAATGGCCTTGAGTCGCAGAAGTGCGATCCCCACGTCATCTGGTCATGCCAATTGCTTTGGTTAAGAGCTATTTTATTTAATTTGGAAAAAAAAAATGATACTGTTTTCTAGCCAGAAAGGTAAAGGTGGTTAGGAATGATTGTCTCGTGGCTACTGGCAGTTGACTTGTCCTAAACGTGCTGCGCTTACATGCCTTCTGTCCAGTGTCATTAATAACTCTTGATTTGTTTTCACATTTGCTGTAGGGATTCCATACGTGGCAAGGAATTTGTTCTGAAGTCGCAATGGCGAGCCTTCTGCGTGTTGCTGTCAGTGGGTGCTCAGCTCCTGTTTTTGGCAATGTGCTCCCACCGAAGGTGTGTTCTGCAAAGATGCCGTGCTTACGAATGTTTAGAACCCACCAGGTGCTTGGGTCTCAGGCAGCTCCAAAGCCAGGTAAATTGATGAAAGTACTGTAAATAATATGTTATTTTAAAACATGAATATAAATTCTTTCTTTTTTTCTTTCTTTCAGATCTGCCTTAGTACAGAAATGACTTAAAATAGAAAGAACACTCTTAAATCATATCAGCAAAATACTTGAGTCAGTTGCAGCACAATTTTAGACTGGCTTTACAGGGCTTATGCAGAAGGTGTTTGTGTTAATTATGAGCACTTTGGACCCACACAGTTTTTGTGGTTACATGGTCTGAGCTCCTGCTAATACTTTCCTTACTTGAAGGTACTTAAATAAATGTTTTGCTTAGTTAAAAGCCTGAGTTCCCATGAATTTTGGTAGTTTTGGTAGTGCAGCTCTTTGTGTGTATGTGAGAGAAAGTACAGACCTCACAAAGACAGCAACTGCTAGCATGAGGATATGTAGCCATTATCATCCCATCTATAAAAAATCTCATGACTTTGTTTAGGAAACACTTCATTGTATCACTTTGAAAAACTATTGATCTGTATCTTCATGTGCTTGTTAGTGCATTTGCACAAATTGCATTTCAGCAGATAATGGACAAGTTCAGGTATTTCCAGGAAAAAAAAAATGGGAAAGGGGGCACCCTTGTTTCCAGTTTCTAACATGAACCTGGTATATGAAGATCGTAACTGATAATTTTTTTCTCTATTGCATGCTGTACATAACGTAACAGTTGGAAGACTGAAGAATACTTAATGCAGGTTTAACAATATTTTTGCCAATTATTACTGCATAGGTCATGTCTCCCTTGGAATTTAGAGACCCTGCTTCTCTGCAGATGTAGGACCTTAGTCTGCAAAAGATTAATGTGGAGAGATGGACTGGTTGCACACATCATGTCTGGTTCTTCCAAATGTAGACAGTAGGTAACTGCATTAGATACTTGAGAGTATTAGGAAACTAGTGCAGTTGGAAACAGAAGTGTCTGGTTGTAAAAACATGGGACACAAAA